ACAACGTGGATAGATCTCAAGGCCATTTAACTAAATAGAAAATCTCAAAAAAATCACATATTGCATGATCCTATTTCTATAACTATAGTTACATAAAATATACCCATTGGAAGAAATGAATGAACGTACCCAGGACCTTTCTGTATGATCTTTGCAATGTCCTGGAGTGAAGGAATGTGCAAATCTACAAATTCTACAAAACAAGGTTTTTTTTTTTTTAAAGCATTATAAAAAAGAAATTGTCTTTTGGTGAATAACTGTGCATTGTCTCCATATAGCACACCCTTCCAAGTTATCTGATTCTGTTCTTTCATTGTCTTTGAACAACTTTTACAACTTTGAAAGTTTAGATAACTGACAGACACGCAAACTGTCCTGTCTGCACCTCCCCATGGAAATCCAGTCTATGCATCGAAAAACCCTTTCCATGTGCAATTCAACATTCCTTTATTCCATATCAATTTGTGCTTTTCTGACTTTTCCTTTGAACGCTAGGAGGGCATTGAACAAGTTAAATAAAATTGTTAACATCTGTTCTTTTTTTTTTTTTTTTTTTTTTGCGTACCTAGGAGAGTCGTAATTTTACTTTTTCTGAAAATTATCTCTTAAGAACATCGATCAGGCTGTGCCACTCCCCAGCTTCACCACTTCCAAGCTTCCCATGGCATTTCAAATGAATGCCAAACATTTCCCGAGGTGTACAAAACACAGCACTTGCTGGGCCCACCCTGCCCCGGGGCCGCATCTCCTTGCTGCTCTGCCCCTTGTCTGGACACTCCCAACTACTCGTCCTGGCTTCAGCTCCCTGAGAACATCCAACCTGTTCCTACCTGATGGCTCCTGCACTAGTTGCCCTCAGCCCGGAGCGCTCTTCTCGTGGATGGCCAGTAAACACCCAGCTCAAGAGGTCCACCTCAGAGAGGTCTTCTCAAACCATCCTATCAAAAGTAACATCCCGGGGCACCTGGATGGCTCAGTGGGTTAAAGCCTCTGCCTTCGACTCAGGTCATGATCCCATGGTCCTGGGCTCTCTGCTCGGCAGGGAGCCTGATTCCCTTCCTCTCTCTCTCTGCCTGCTTCTCTGCTTACTTGTGATCTCTGTCAAATAAATAAATAAATAAATCTAAAAAAAAAAAAAAAAAGTAATATCCCCATCCTATTTTCTATCATAGTTATTTCTACCTGAAATATGATCAATAATAGTATTATTACATATGTTTTATATGTTGTATTTATTACATTAGTATACTGTTAACTATATGAGTATATATGTATAACGTATTTACTTATTATATTATGTGAATGTAATATACAGTTTGGTTAGTTTCCAGCTTATTTATTCCCTGCCCACCCCAATTCTATTAATAGTAGGATCTTGGGATCTGCTTCCATTATATCCCCCAATGCGTAGAAAGGTACCTAGCACATAGTAGGCACTCAATAAATATCTGTTGAATAAATCCTTGGGTGAGGGGCATATGGCTGGCTCAGTTGGTAGAGCATGCAATCTTGGGGTTGTGAGTCTGAGTCGTGGGGGCATAGAGCTTACTTCAAAAAAATCAACGAACCAACAAACAAATCCTTGGGTGAATAATGTTTCCAGAAGTAGTGAGGTCCCCAGCACCAGAAGTATTTAGGCATGGTATGTACAACCACTTAGCAATGTCATAGAAAAGCTATAGGCGTAGGCTCAGTTACAAGAATAAAAGACCAGGAAGGTCTCTTCTAGTACTATGAGTCTATGATTCTGTGGCCACTTCACCGTCTCTGTCATGCAGTGGGAAAAGCAAAGGAGTATCCTCAACCCTTTCCCACCAAATGATGGTATGCACACTCTTGTTCCTGCCGCAATATCATCTCAGCATTAAAATGTTGAAGCTAATCAGACATTTAATTTCAAAGTGGAAGGTCATTATCTTGTCACAAAATTTTATTCCAATTACTTTTTTTCTATTATACGAAATGAATTAAAAGTAGCACAAAACATTGGGAGATCAAACAGTCAATCAGAAGCTCATTAAATATCATTGAAATTGGTGCAATAAAAAGCATTTCCCATGGCTGACTTATTATTTAAAAGCTATATTCTGGATGGCTCAAGGAATTGACATGCTGCCAATCAAAAACCACCCTGTCCATAAAGAGCCATTTGGCTTTAGAAAGTTCACTATTTTTTTGTGTGAGAAGAGTAAATATCTAAGGAGATTTAAAGCATGGGTATAATTACCATCCTATCAGTCCCCATGAGACCCTAAAGAGAAGATATCAGCAAAGTCACCATCTGATCATTTAGACTATAACTTACAGAAAGATGCTTACAAAGTGCTACCAGTGATTTTATAAACACCTCAATACATTACATTTCTGTACAATACTCAGCTAAGTACAATCCCAGGCAGGGATTAATGGTCAGTTACAAGTTTAAAATTGAGTCCAACTCCAAACTTGGAATAAATGCCCATTTTATTTTCTCAAGAGTGATTATTAAGCACTTTATTTTTCTCTGGCCCCAGATGTAGGTGACTATTAGCATGAGGATCTGTAAATGGATCATTTCTAAATTTCTAATATTTCTCCATTAGGACTCCTGTCCCCCACCTTGCCTTTTAAAGCTAAACCACTAGTTTTATAGAAATGACCACTTTGTGATGTATAAGATGGCATGTCCTTTTAGTTGGTAAAATATAACAACAGAAGTACTGTTCCCAGTCTCTTAAGATGTTTAAGTGGTTGGCAAGGATGATAAAAATAAAAATACATAATCATAAGACAAAGCTCTCAGGTATAGGAAATTACTTCTTCAGTAGAAGGATTCAAAAATTTCTCCCCTCTAAGTCACCCCGCATAAACACTGCCACTACCCCCAAATTTCTTTTCAAACGCCAGGACTTACTGGCAAATTATCTGGGAGTACAGTGGGAGGTAAACATTTCAATGCAAAATTCAGAACTGCTTTATAGAAAAAAAAGTGCGGGGAGGTTTGTTATCATTTATTTCCTCCAGTATATCATTCAATTTCAGCTGTCTCACATCTCAGAAGAAGCTCCCCCATTTCTCACTTATGTGCCTAAGAAACATCTCTCTGGCATCTCATTCTCTCTCCCTGTCTTTCACCAGCATTTCATTATTTCTTAACTGTCCCTCTCATGCTTGTCTCCCTTTTTCCTAGTGATCCACGTGTCCTCATTTAGCAGTTTTCAGAAGCCAGGGAGAAACGTTGCAAATAATGTTAAATATGATTAATATCTTGAATTCCTTGAAATATGACATGCATGAGTTACAATGAAACCTCTTTTATTTCCCCATGAAATGCTTTTGCATAATGAGAAAGAAAATGTCCTCTATGCCCTAATCAGCTCTGACAGTTCCTGGACTCCCAAATACTTTTATTTATGGCATTATTTATTTCATCTCTAATAAATGGAAGGGGGGGTACCCACAGCATGATCTGAAGAAGCTGCAGGAGAGAGGGAGACTATCTTGGGTGGAGGAGCACAGAAGCTGAACCAGCCAAGAGAGAGAAGGCTTCCAAGGTAAGGGAGATATAGGAAATAAGAGGCCAAGGACCTGAACCCCCAGAAGAAAATGGGTCACTTTTCCAAGACTGAAAGGAAACTCCGAAAAGGAATGCAACTTCAGAGTGGAGAGAGGAGGGTCACACATCAAGGAGGAGATGCACTCGGATTCCTAACCTGGAGAATGAAGACTGACAGGCTGGAAACCAATTCTGGGAGGGAGTATGCTGGCACCCGCGCAGGCCTAGGAGAGAGGGATGATTTGCTCCAAGGAGCCTCTGGGAGAAGCCAGGGCACTCCTCAAGATTTGAAGACAACCTTACTCCATGGGGATCCTCCTCCAAACCACAGAAGCTCGTCTTTCATTCAATCAATTACTGGAATTGTGTGTCCTCCAGAAACACTGGCCTGAAGGCTCCAGATGCAGTGAGAAGCTTGCTGGGCGATAGAGCAGGCCACCCTGGTTCTCACATTTACGTATATATCAAATGACATTGTTGAAGGCATCTAATCACCATCCCAAAGGGAGGTATCGGGTCAGATTTTTCCCTCAATTGCACAGAGTCTACGTGCTATGAGAAGTGAGGATATGAATTCAAATGATCTGGATGCGTGTCTGCACTCGGCCACACACTCCTGAGTGTCTGGCTTTGGGCAATTACCTCGCGGGGCCTCTGTTTACTCATCTGTAGAATGGGGTAAATGATACTGCTACATTCTCTGGGCCCCTACTGGAAATTAATAAAATAATGTAGAAGTCCGAGATCCCGTATGATCTTATGCTCCTGTGATCTGCATGAGCTCAAAGGTCAAGAGCTGGGTGTGGGCCGACCCTGAGAGGCGCACAACGCGAAGCGACCCTAGGTCAAATCCTTCAAGATGTTCTTTTCAAAAGGTCGGGGGAGGATTTCCCCGAGGGGTAGAACTGGCTGCAGTACCTTCCCAAGGCACACACACCCCCACTCCAACTACTCCCAGCCCCTCTGTGCAACCCCGAGAGTTTGGGGCCACGTAGGGGGCGCCAGGAGCTCGTTTCCGAAGCTGAACCCCGCCCGCAACGGCAAAACCTCCAAGTCCGCACCTGGGGCTCCAAAGTCTCGCGCTGGCCGGGACCTCGCCCTGTTTACCCGCGCGCCCTCGGGATCCGGCTCTTCCCTTCCCCCCCCCCCCGTCGGAGGCGCACACCCGGCGCGCGGACCCCACGGGCGGCGGCGCCGCCGCCAGGCCCCGCCCCCGCCCCCATTATCATTAGCAGATATTACCCTAAACACTTGCTCTTTACCTCCTTTCTCCCTCCAGGCATTGGCGAGGCGGCCTGTCAATCAGCGCTCGGGCGGCAGCCCCCCGCGCGGGGGCTCAGCGATGCCAGCCTCAGCGACAGGCGGCAGTGGCGGCGGCGGCGGCCCAGGCACAGTCACACACCCTCCCACACGCGCGCACTCGGGCAGAGCCGGCGGGCGGGAGGCGGAGGCACCCTCGGAGCCCGGCGCCCGGCGGGGAGGGGGCGTGCGACCGGGGACCGGCCCCGAGGCGCAGGATGGAGGAGGAGATGCAGCCGGCGGAGGAGGGGCCCAGCGTCCCCAAAATCTACAAGCAGCGCAGCCCCTACAGCGTCCTCAAGACGTTCCCCAGCAAGAGACCGGCGCTGGCCAAGCGCTACGACAGACCCACCCTGGTGGAGCTGCCGCACGTCCGGCCGCCGCCGCCCCCGCCGCCCTTCGCGCCGCACGCCGCCGTCTCCATCAGCAGCAGCGAGCCGCCGCCGCCGCCGCCGCCGCAGCCGGCAGTCCAGGGCGCAGGGCCCCACCCCCCCCGGGCCCGGCCGGGCCGCCGCCGCCGCCTCGTCGTCGTCTCCATCCTGCACGCCCGCCGCGTCCCAGGGCCACCTGAGGACTCCGGCGCCGCCGCCGGCGGCCCCCGCCGCCTCCTCATCCTCGTCCTTCGCCGCCGTCGTCAGGTATGGCCCGGGCCCGGCGGCCGCCACGGGCAGCAGCAGCGCGGGCAGCGACGGCGCCAGCCTGGAGCTCAGTGCAGGTACCGACCAACTCCTGGGCGCAACTTTCCTTCCCGCCCGGCCGCGGGGAGGGGTGGGGGCCCGGAAACCAGAAGCTGGGCATGGCGGACGTCGTTTCGCGCGCGCCGGGCCCGGCGGGAGGGGCGCGACGGGAGCCGGGCGAGCGCAGTCCCGGCTGAGAGAGAGTCGGGGCGTCGGAGCGCAGCCCCGAGGCCTCCACGCACCGGCGGCAACTTCTAGAGGATTCCGCGCCGCCGCCGCCGCGTGCGGAGCTTCCGACGGCGCGCGCGCCTCCTAACAGGTGGCTTCGCGCTCGGATCCGGCGTGGCGCCCAGGATGCGGGACGGTGGCGGTCCGCGACCGGGGTCTGTCGGGGGAGGGGTCGGGGAGGCAGCCTCGGCGCGCGGCGCGCCGGACACCCCAGGGTGGCGGCCACGGCCGCTTGGGGCGAGGCAAGCGCTGCTCGGGCGGCGCTCGGGGACGCCCTTCCTTTACCCTCGGCGGCTGCACTTTTTCCTTCCACTTTTCCTTTACCTCTCTTTTCCTCTGGTTTTGCCTTCTTTTTCTCCTTCCTTACCTTCCGATCCTCTTTTTCACCACCTCTTTGATGTACTCTTACTCTGCCGCGGTCCACTCGGCTGGCTCTGGGGCTCCCTTTTCTTCTGTGCGCTTGTGTTTCCCGTGCGCGCGCGGTCCCTGCTCGGCGGCCCTCTTTCCCCACCCGCCCCGGAGTCCCGGCCCGTGGGGGCAAGAGAGCGGGCTCCTCTGCAGCGGCCAGGCGGCTGGACCTGGCGCTGGGCGCTGGCCCCTGCGGCGGACTTTAGGGAGAGGGACGTCCCGCCCCTCCCCCCCCCCCCAGCCCAGGGACACCCCTCCCCCGGGCGCTTGGGACCCGCCGCCCAAGCCCCCCACCCCCCTCCGCCGGGAGTGATGGGGATGCACGGCGCCTCCGGGGCATCTGGGCCCCAGCTCTGACGAAATGCCTAGTGGGGAGCACCCACCCCAGGGCACGAGGTTCCTCTCCGCCGAGAGCCTGCGGGAGCCCCCCTCGGAAAAGGCTACTCTCCTTCGGGTTAGGCTCCGGGGAGGTGGGCTGGTAGGAAGGCCATAGCCTGGGGCCTGCGCCCAAGGGCACTCTGCGCTCCCTCGGGGCGCAGAGCCGCGTTTAGCTTGCTCCTGAGAACGAAAAGTTCCTGCTCTGGGCCTTTTATGGCATTTTAGAGCCCTCCAAATTCGGCATATCGGTGGATCCAAGCTTTTGTCCTGATGAAAATATGAGCATTGTCTCTAAATGAGTTATAGATGCCTGAGCTAATGTTCTGTTGTTTGTCAATATTTTGACGCATGAAGGATTGGTTTTGAGAAAGAAAATCTAATTACAGGTAATAGTGAAGACTTGTTCTGTCACATCTCTCACTGATTTGGAGATGTTTGACGGCTTCGAGTAGGGTTCTTATGTAGGGGTTCTTATTGTTTGTGGGGTGGTTTGTTGTTGGGGGTTTTTTTGTCTTTTTTTTCCCCCAGTTGCTTTTGACCTGATATTGTGTTGTGTTTTTATATTATTGTTAGGCTACCCACCTACTTCCATTTTGTCCCTTATTACTCTTTTGTGTTCTCCCCTTTGAGTAAGGTTTGTGTTCTTTCTCTCTCTATTTGGACTCTTCTCTTCATTCATGCCCATGTTTATTCCCTTGTTCTGCTTTATCTTTGTTTTATATGGTGTTTCTCCCCGTTTGGGTTCTTTTCCCCTATTCTATGTTTTGCCTATCCCTTTGCATAACCTTAGTTCCACCACGTTCACTGGGGGGTTTTCCCCCCTTTTAATCTGCCTGTGAAGTCTTTAATCAACCTTTTGCTTCCTTTTATACACTATAAATCTGCCCCCTTGTTTCCATTTTTCATCCATAGTTTTAACCTGGCTTTTTCCTGCGTTTCTCTTTTCTATACCAGCCACTTGCTGTCCTTTCCATGCTCCCTCCTGCTCTGACAGTGTCCTTTCTTTCATTCACAAGGAGTTTGTTTTTCCTTTTCACCTTGTTGTAAATGTTCTCTTTCAGTGTTTCTTCCTAGTTAATTTTGTCCTAGTTAATTTTGCCAGGTGGACATCTCAACGTCATTGCACCTAAAAGAGTGAAAGGGGGCTTTGTCTGGTGCCCCGTCAAACTCCCTATATTTTTTTTCCTTTTATTCTCAAGGCTGCTGTTGCTGCTCCCTTTTTTTTTTTTTTTTTTTTTTTAAGGTCATAGAGAGGTAAGCTTGATAGCGCCAAGTACAGGATGCCATGTGCTTGTTGGAAAGATGGGAATTGGTTGGTAGGTTTCTTCCATGCAGTGAGGAAAATGGTCTGGTGGGGGAGAAAAAAAAAAAGTCATGGTACTGGACATCATGAATTATGGTCCTAATATTAATCATTGATGGACAAAGCCATCTCTTAACAGGCACAGAGATGTGAGTGGCCATCAGAGGGACAGTCACCTGAAGAGCTGATTGGCTCTTTGAGGAACTAGTGGTTCCACTTTGAACCAATGAGCATGTGTGCACAGACTGACACCATGTAAGCATACTGGGGAGGGGGCTGGGGAGGTGGTAGGTTGCTTGTTGCGCCCTCAAAAAAGTGTTTTGCAGCCTCTCCAGCTAGCTGGTAAACAGAAAATAGTCAAGACGTCCCTGTGATGAATCGAGTCAGGGATAGAAGAGAGATAGCGGAGTGTCCAGAGTAAATGCAGGGAAAAGATGAAAAGGTTGAAGTGAATCTTATTTGCCATTAAGAGCCATAAACCACTGAGAGGAGAAATATGTGATTAAAAATAGATTTTTCAGCATTCTTATAAAATCTCATGAAGAGTATAATTTTCCTTAAAAGGGGTAACATACCATGGTTTTAAGAGCATATTTTTCCTCTGTGGGAGGCTTAGAGTTAAAACCCACGTAGATCTTGATATGCAGCCTAAATTTGGCATCAGGAAATGGGAAATTGCATCTTTAAGCAGAGTACAATCAAAAATGAATTACAATAAATCCTATATAATTGCATAGGTCATTCTCTTTAATGAGATTTTATTAACCTGACTGTCAAGCTTTTGAGTCAGGCAGATATTTTATCTTCTTCAACTGATAAAAGTGTCAGCTATAAACCACCATATAAATATTCATAAATCTACACATCTGTGGCAGCCTATCAGCATCATTCTTTTGGACATTAAAAGCATTCTAATTACTTTCTGTCTAGCAGAGCTGAAATGCTGCCTGTTATAGTATGTGCTTGGCAGGCATGATTGCTTTTGTTTGCCATCACAAATAGCAGCATCCTCTTTTATATACCGATGGTCCAGAAAATATTCAGGGATTGACTGAGCAGGATGAATATTAGGAAGCACCATCTGGTTTTGATAGCACCGGGTATATTAACTCATCTGTTAATTTTTGACACATCATTGATTTATTTATTTAGAAAAATTGCATCCTGTTTTGCTGTGTTGATGTTTGCCATTATGAAAAAAAAAATTGGATGGCCTTTTTTAAAAAGACATAGTTCATTGATTTAAGACAAGGGTGATGCTCCCAAAGATGCTTTCATTTTCTAACTTCTATTTTCTATGCCATAAAGTCCTCTCTTCAGAAGTTATATTAATGTTTTAAGGAAACCCATCTATTTTGAACTAGCTGGAAATCCTTTTGGTAGATAAAACGTATGGATACGTGATAGTAGATCACAAAAATTTTTTTCTGCTTCTGCATTTTTCATATTAATATATTTCACCCTTCGCTGGGCTAAAATCAAAAGGTTACCACTAATCTCGACGACTGTGATCTCCTTCATGGTAACAGAATACTCTTGGGTATAGGCTGTGATGGACAAATTCCATTCAAGGCTTTACTTACAAAGAAGGACATTAAAAAAAGGCGCCTGTGTTTGATTGCTGAGTTCCCATCCCTTATTCACTTATCAGATTTAGGATGGATTAAACCACTTAAATTTAGAAGAATTTCTAGAAATGAATTTTTTAATTAAAAAAATAATCACGGGTTCAGATTTTGGAATCAGACTAGGCACAGTTTGCAACATGATATTATCCCAACAGATTGCACAGCAGAGCAAAATAAATTACAAGTGGTCACTTTACAGTGCTTCATGACTGTGAATTATTAACATTTTGCAGTGTTTACTTTTAGAGAACTTAGGAATAAAGTAGGTAGTTTTAAAGCCCCTTTGTAAACTGTTGACTTTGTACTTCCTTGCCATTGCTTGCGTGGAACATTCTGTAACTAGGGGGGAAAAGCAGTTAAAAAAAAATTCAAAATACATGTTCACACTTTGCTCAATTAAGAATCACGGGTCAGTGACCATTCGATTGTGTTCGTATGAAAACAGAACTTTTCTCCATTTCTTAGCGTAATGGGCATTGCACAGTACTTGCATTTCTAATTATATTCTGTCTGGAAAGCTAAAGTATTGCTGGCTGCAATATGGAGTAAGTAGAAAGATGTGCTGTTTTCTGCCAAGTGTAATAGTAATATTTTTCATCATATTCTTCCACATATTGATGTGAAAACACTATTTCAATGTTTTAAGTTACCAAAAAGAAGAGAAATTCAACTTTAAGGCTATGGTTGCTATTTTTGCATCTGTCAGTTCTCAGAACAAATTCAGAATGAAGCATTTTTTAAAAACTGAAGGCAAGAACTGTTTTATGGTTGTAGCTACTCTCTGATATTCTGAGAGCACTTTAATACATTAACTTCATAATGTAGCATATTACATAATGATTTTTTCTCAGCATATTACAAGTTTATCCTTCAATTAAAAAAATCATGCTTATCCCCAAGTCAGGGTTTTTTTCCCCTTAAAATGTATACCCTAATGTGATTTATCAATATGATGAAAGCTACTGAGTGTGCTTTAGGACATGGAACAAATATATTCAAGCAATTCTTTATAGGCGCTTCTATTTTAGCCTTTCTTTTCATATTTTGCTCCTTTCATCAAGGTTATGTTAGAAGTGTATAGGATGTAAATCATCCGGGTCTGTGCTGATTAAAATGCAAACAGTAAATACAATTTCAGGTCTGGAATGGGATTATAGGATTAAAATGAATGGAAACTGCTAGTGTGCTAGAATTGAAAATTCCCAATCAATATCATCCTTTGATTTTACTAATAAAAGAACAAAAACCCGGAAGTGAAAATGAGAATGCAACATCACCTTAAGTCTTCCCACTTGTATGGTTCAGCCGTTTACTTTATTTGGTTTGGGTCAATGTAAAGAAATAAAACCCACATATCTGAAGTCTTCCCCCATTACTTTTTGGTTTAAATCGTGGGCACAGTTCTTCCCTTCCACCTGGCAGGGGGCAGAGGCATCAGTTCCAGCAAACATGCTGCCCATATCCACATCCCTTTTTCTCCCAGAGAACGAGTGGACTTTATCCTTGCTGCTGCTTCAACGAAGTTCCCAGTGCATCAATCAATTCTAGCCTGAAACTGTACCTGACATCTGGTTCTTTCTTCAGGACTCAAAAATCATTGTGTAAAAAACAGACCTGTACCTAATATTTGTGGGATTTAGGACAAGAGTGCAAATTCAGGCCTACATTCCATATATCTAAATAATTAACTAACTGTTAAATAAAATATGTTCCATCCACCTATCCTGATAAATACACCTTCTTAATGACCAGATTTGACTTTGGAGTTTTCAGCCAGCCCATGGCCTTCTCTCCCCACCCCCAGCTTCATCTTCCACTAGGAGGAACCTCACATACACAGGAATGGATGCCCCAGTCCAAACTTCCAGGCTCTGGCACCATGGTCTGTCTTTGGGAGAATGGCTCAGGGAAGAGTCCAACACAGGCCCTCGAAGCAGTTTGAGTAAGGAATTCCTGGATCTTGGGTACCTCACCATGGGGAGAGGGTGGGATGGAGGAGGACGGTTAGGGTAGGGGTCCCCCTGCCTGTGTCTAAGGGTAGTATTGGTCCTAAGAGTGGGAAAGCACTGTGCCGGGAAGAAAACAGCCTTGTGGACTTGCAGCCTGCCCAGAGTGCTCTAGCCACCCCAGCCAAGGATATATGAAATGCTCTAAAGTAAGACCTATTTATTTACAAGAGGCCCTGCATATAGTCAGTATATATTTTGCTGTCCCCATAGAAGCCCTCAAACATCTTACCATTTTTCATTTTTCAAGTTTATTCCCCCCCAAATACAGCTGATCAACATGTTCAGAAACAAGTAGCTAGTTAAATTTCTATCGTAAATAGTTGCTGGCATCTAAAATCTGCAGTATTTTGTGGCCATTATTCTGGGTAGGGAGGAGAGGAGATGAGAGGCATCCACCACCTCGACGTAAGTCTTATAAAGCATCTCTCTGTTTTTATAAATAGTCCATTCTGGAAGGTGGTCTGGAAAGAAGGGAATGTACCTTGTGACATTTGCATTTGGGGCAAATTTTCAAGACCCTTAGACAACACGAAAACATGTTTTCACGGTTTGAGGGGGTTTTGCTTGTTTTCCTAAACTGATTGCTTTCTGCTTGGTTTTTACTTTTCATTGACTGACAATTAATATGCTTTTGAATACGTTTCTGTGAACTAACCATCACTCTCGACACATGCCATTTTAAGAGACTTGACAGTCTAATGGAAGAGGCTCTAAGGAGAGACACTGCTGCTTTCCGCATGATACTTACACAGATTGGCCTAAACATGGGCCTTGACGAGAAATCCAGGTTCACAGATAAATGACAAGAAAGCGTAGTGAACACAGATGTTGGCTAACACGGTTTTGCTTTTGGGCTTGTCATCGTTTGCCTTATAGGCCACTCTTTGTTTTACCTTAGATGTCTAGTGAGCTCTTCAAAAGGACTTATCTTTCTTCTCCAGTTTGCATCTGGGAGCAGCGTACTCGGCAGGGACCGTATCAGCTGATTAATAGCAAGGGCATGAGGGCACTCCAGAAATAGAAGTAATGATTGCTGTAAGCCCTCCTATCAATGAGGAATTGAGTTGGCAGTGACTGGCTCGATTCATTAGAGTAAGGATATTAATGAAGCCAAAGGTGTGGGTTCAGACCTGTGCAGGCCAGTTAATGCCACAGCGATGGAAATCTCTCTGTGGTGCCCAAAGTCACAGTCTTGCCATTTCCCAGAGGGAGGGGGTGGGGGAAACTCTTCAGGCACCCCTCTGGTTGCAGAATGACAGGAAGCTAATGCATCCTATCTCGTCCCCTTAGTTTGGGATGGAAAGTAGAAATACATATTTTTAACATTTTTGAATGGTACGCTCAACGCTGAGGCCCTCACTTACCCCCTTCCCCTTGTCTTTGGCTATCCGTCTCTGATGTGTCTTTTCATGTGTTTCAGAGAGTCGAATGATCTTGGATGCCTTTGCCCAGCAGTGCAGTCGAGTTCTTAGTCTCTTAAATTGTGGAGGAAAGCTTCTGGACTCCAACCATTCCCAATCCATGATTTCTTGCGTAAAGCAGGAAGGCTCGAGTTATACCGAAAGACAGGAGCAGTGTCCCATCGGGAAAGGGGTCCACAGTCAGACCTCTGATAATGTAGACGTAGACATGCAATATATGCAAAGGAAACAACAGACTTCTGCCTTTTTGAGGGTTTTCACTGACTCCCTACAAAATTACCTGCTCTCAGGGAGTTTCCCGACTCCAAACACCTCATCGGTCAGTGAGTACGGCCATCTGGCCGACGTGGATCCTCTGTCAACCTCCCCCGTGCACACACTAGGTGGCTGGACCTCCCCGGCGACCTCTGAATCCCACGGTCATCCATCCTCTTCCACACTGCCAGAGGAGGAGGAAGAGGAGGAAGAGGAAGGCTACTGTCCGAGGTGCCAGGAGCTGGAGCAGGAGGTTATTTCCCTGCAACAAGAAAATGAAGAACTCAGACGGAAATTGGAGAGCATCCCAGGTACCGTGCCGTTTTCCTTGCAAGCCACCTGCAGATCCTTCCTTTCTGTTGTCTCAGCTCTGTGTGTGTGTGTGTGTGTGTGTGTGTGTGTGCGCGCGCGCGTGTGTGTGTGCGCGCGTATGCATGTGTAGGTATCTATTTTTCATTTTGGCCAGCAAGGGAGAAAAGTTGGGAAAAACAGGCACACGCATGGGGTGGCCTTCGCCTTCCAGTGCCAAATGGAAATTTCAGGATGAACTCCCAGCCTTATCCTATCTATGTTTAAGTCGGTTGTAAGCCTGGAGACCACTGTCCTGTTCAAAGATGTCTCTAACCATGTAAAAGTGATTCCAGACTTGATCGGAGAATCCAGTAGGCCAAGTGCCATGAGCCTGGGTTTTCATCAAAAAGTGTTCCTCTCTTTTAAAAGCAGCTTTTGTATTTTTAAAGACTTTGCTATGTGTGTTTTATTAGTAGTAGAGAGTAAAGTGGAATGATTCTTTCGGGGGGGGGGATGTGAGTAGAACTAAACAAGTGGTCTCTTCTGTTCCGTTAATTTCTTGTCACTCTTGTTAAGTTTCAACAGGCATAGTGTCTTTTTAGCATGCAGGCTCCTCCTTAAAGTTAATAAGCAACTGTAAACTGAAAAGAATAGATTAAAGACAGACCGGTAATTAAGTTGATCCCACACTATTTGTGCCCCCTGGCGAAGCACGCATTTCCTGCCTCTTAGAGACACTAGATTTGTGGAGTAGTAAAGTCATCTTTATGGCAAGATCTTCTCTGGGCTGCAGAGCCATTTTTTTTGCTATTTAAAGAGCGACCGATTTTGCTTATGTCTTTGAATTCATTTCCTACATGTCTGTGACTTATAAAAGATGGTAAGATCATTAGCTAGAACGGTAACTTCAAACCCTTTCCTTCATGCGGCCCATTGATAAAAAGTTTTGAGCATATATCCACCAACAGACACATTTATTGGTTAATTACATACATGTCCTACTTATACTAATATAGTGTGTTCAAAATAGGATGTATATAACACATTAAAATTTTTACATTAAAATTTTTAAGGCTGATATATAAATGTAAATAGAAAGTTTGTTCTTTTCCTGACTCTGTCTTTGAACCACCCAATTTGGCAGCTGACTTAAAAAGAAGGAAATAGTGAAGACTACCACCCTCTTGTTTATTAGTACACATGCAAAACAAAAACAAAAGCGAGCATTAAGAATTGGCAGATCAGAAACTTATTTTCTTTCCATCCCTTGATTTAAAAGCTTTCCCAAATGGACCAGAGTTTTGGTTCAGAATATTTCGGAATTAGATTTAGTGCGGTTGTGTTGTGGGGGAGAAGGAAGAGGTGAAGTTAATCCTTTCTCTCCCTTTGCACTTGAGCCCTGGGGTTAGATAAAAGGTCACAGTCTTCCCATGCCAGGCAGACAGCAACCGCAGGAGACATGGGTCGAACTCAGTGCAGTGGCCGCAGAACTCCACTGGGTTCGCCCAAGTCCAAGAGAGGGGCCAGAGCTAACTCTCTGGGAGTTTACAGCTCTCACAGTTCCACAAATTATAGTTAATTAACTTGGAGTTTTATCCCCAAAGGAGTATTTTCCCTCTTGCTCCCCATCGTCCTCTTTCCCTGGGAGAGAAAATAGTGTCCTGGAGATCAGTGAATTCTAGATCCTTACATCAGCCATTCAGAACTGTGGCTAAGAGTTTCATCGTGCGAGGACAGGTAACAGAATTGTCCAGAGTGGTGATGTCTAATTCCCAGTCCTGAATGCTTGTCCTCAGCAAATACCAAGTAAATTTGCGATTTAGTCCTCCTCCCATTTATCTGTACCAGGTGAAAAGTCTGTCATGGATAACTCCTTGCTGAGCTCCCACGAATCACTGTCTCTGTTTCCCAGAAAGATGAAAATGCTGCAATTTCTTGAGCTTTCTAGGTGGTCCAATATTGAATGATACTTGCTGAAATTAGGCTGTGGTCACCACTGTTAGAGTAAACGGTCCAGCCCTATTGAAATCTCCCTCCTTAAACTTGAGTCAAAAGCCATTTCACATGGAGAACTATGATTTCAGTAAATAATCCATACTGAAACCCAGCTATATGAATGAAAATCAGTTTTTCTGGGTGCCTGGGTGGCTCAGTGGGCTGTGTCTGCCTTCAGCTCAGGGTCTCAGGATCGAGCCCCAAGTTGGATTCCCTGTCCAGTGGAGAGCCTGCTTCTCCCTCTCTCGCTGCCCCTCTGCCCACTCGTGCTCTTTCGGTCTCTCTCCCTCAAATAAAATCTTTATGAAAAAAGAAAAAACATTGGGGAGGGTATGTGCTATGGTGAGTGCTATGAAGTGTGTAAACCTGGCGATTCACAGACCTGTACCCCTGGGGCTAAAAATACATTATATGTTTATTAAAAAATTAAAAATAAAAATAAGCTAAAGAAAAGAAAAGAAAATCGGTTTGTCAGTTATGAATAGAAAAAAAGTAGCATAAAATTCAAGAAAGATTTACTTATTTAAGGAGTACATGGGTGGCTCAGTTAGTAAAGCCTCTGACTCTTGATTTTGGTTCAGGTCATGATCTCAGGGTCGTGAGATCGAGCCCTATGTCAGGCTCCAGTTGCTTAAGATTCTCTCTCTCCCTCTGTCCCTCCTTCCCTTCCATGTGTATACACACGCTCTCACTCTCTTTAAAAAAAAAAAAAAAAAAAATGATTACTTAACGCATGTACTCATTACATAGGGACGCCTTAGCATTGGACATTCAGTCAAACATGTTGCTTACAACGAAAACCTGAAGCAAAAGAAGGCATCACTGTCCCCTTCCCCATACTGCTCAACCTCCGTCTTTGGCTAAACAACAGACCAGATTGTGGGTGATCACCTACGAATACACCTTTCACTCCATTAGTTATGAATTTTGGGGAAGAGGACCGTTATTTATAGACAGCCATTTGAAGAAAAGTGCAGCAAGTAATAAAGTAGATAAAGTAGTGAAGAAGAGAGGTTCAAAGTAAAAAGCCATCTGGTTTTATATGTTACAGGAGTACTTTGCAATCAGTAGTTCTCCTGGATAATTTGGGATGCATTTTCTCTAACCATTGTCAGGGTTTCCCAGCAGTTCCAGTAGGCCTCTGTTATTCTAAAAGCCAGAGCATTCCCAGGGGAGGACCGGGGACCTGGGTAGAACTACCCGTATGTTGTGGGATGGCTCTCCTTAAAGCCAAGCAGGATGGATGAGTACAAAGGAGAAAGTAGCATTCAGAGGAAATAGGGTTAACAAAAAGGTAGGAACGCCTGCCCCAGGTCAGAGCTAGGACACTGATTTTAATCCCTTCTCCGCTGCTCCTGAGTTGTGCTGTTGAATGACTTTGAGATTCCTGGTTTCTTAATTTTTTATTTTTTTCCTGAAATAAGCATTCATACCTGGCAGCAGTTCTGGAAGTGGGACTTCAAGTGAGCCTATTAGAATATAGGGGGAAATTAGCTCCCTGGGCAGCTATGAAAGGGGACAGGAAAGTGCAGACCTTACCGAGAAGAAAGAGGTTGGGGAAGGCGCTTTTCCCCTACCACCTGACCGGGCCTGGGTTGCTGTATCCTGTGTCAAGGAGTCAGCAAAGACTTGTTGATTGTCAACCACATGCAAGCAAGGGCTCCTGGAGAAGAGTCGTCTGACTTCCCGCCCCCAGTGACTTGCCCATGTGGGCGGTTAAATATTGTCTCCTCAGGGAGGATCCTCAGCCCCCACTCTTCGGTGTTACATTATCACACCAGAAGTCAGAGAGTCCGTTGAAAAGTTAAAATTTTTTAGAAAAAAGTGAAGGTAAGTTAAAAGCAAAAAGCCACAGGGACACTTGGGTGGCTCGGACGGTTAAGCGTCTGCATTTGGCTCAGGTCGTGATCTCAGGGTCCTGGGATGGAGTCCCATGTTGGTTCCCTACTCAGTGGGGGTGCCTGCTCTCTCTGTCCCTCTCTCTCTCACTGTCAAATAAATAAAATCTTAAAAAAAAAAAAAAGTAAAAAGCCACAGAAGGAAATGATATTTGGATCAGGAATACAAAAAGCTGAGACATTATTGAAAGAAGGAAGATGTTGGGGAACTGTCTCCCCAGAGAAGGTGGCAGGTTAGGGCCAGTGCACTGGTTTAGAAAGCTTGTGGTCAGCACAAGGTGAGCTCCCGAGGGAGGGTGGATGTAAAATACTGTACATCATCTCATTTAAGACCCCACTGAATGCAAGATGCACCAGTATTCTGTATTCCACTAAGAAGGGAAAAAAATACTGCAAATCATAATTGCCCCTTAGAATTCTCTTTGAACAAGCAAATATGAAAAAATGTGGGTCTTAGAATCATAAAATACGGTAATTTTAGAAAATAGCTTCCAAAGTAAAATAATTACGACATGTTAAAAATACCTTGAGACGTTCTAAGTGCCAAATATACAGGAATATACTACTGACATCATTAAAGGACTTCCTACTTTATAAAAAGCACATTTAGGATTATCTCAATTTATCTTTACCTCTCCCAAGAAATATTAATTTTCCCACTTTATGGACAAAGAGGTTGAAATCAGGACAGGAAAAGCCTGGGGCAGAGCTAGAGTTATAATCCAAGCCTTTCGACTCTAGATCTAGTTTATTACCCTTTTCACCTGAAAAATACAGTCGATTTCGCACAGTTCATTGTAGTTACTTTCTATAAAGTCACTGTAGACACTGAATTAGCGAATCCCGAAGCATCACCCCTCGGGGAAATATGGAGCTGGGTTTCTGAGGACCTCTGGTCACATTTTTATCAACAGATCGATGCATATTTATGTATGTTTTTGTTTAAAGAGACCTAATTTAATAGCATTGTCGGAATAACACAACTCACAGCCAGCTGCACTGTATCCTGCTGTGAATGAGGCTTACCTGACACGTGTTTTCTCCCTGAGGCTCATCTCGGCCTTCCTGCACACGGGACCACCAGACAGCCCTCCAGCTCTGCGCTCAGGGTCCCTTTTAAATGGCGA